ATAGTGCTAGCCAGCGTAGCACTGGCGAGCCTATAAGGATGCTGCAGGTTTTTCCTCCCAAGGTGGAGAACCTAGCATTTTTCGGTGTTAAACACCATCAGGTTCTCGTCTGCCCATTTCATGAGCCTGTCAAGATCTCCCTGGATCGCCCTCCTGTCCTCAGGTGTGGATGCTTTACCCCAGAGTTTGGTGTTGTTGGCAAACTTGGCCAGTCCACTTCTGACACCAATGCCCACATCATTGATGAAGATGTTAAATAGCATAGGCCCTAGAACAGAGCCTTGTGGGACCCCACTGGTCACAGCACACTAAGATGATTGACTCCTGTTGACCACCACCCTCTGGGTCCTACCGCAGAGCTAATTCCCCAGCCGGCAGATCGTGGTGAGGTCGAGGCTGCAGTTAGCCAGTTTTGCGAAGAGGTGATTATGGGATACCAGATCAAAGGCTTTTTTAAAGTCAAGATATACAACATCGATCTCTTCCCCCTTGTCCGGGTGATAGGTCACCTGGTCGTAAGAGGAAATGAGATTGGTCATGCAAGACCTACCTGCAACAAACCCATGCTGGGTATCCCTCATATTGCCTTCAGCTAGTCTGTTAAGGATGGCCTCTTTGACAATCTTTTCCAAGACGTTCCCCAGGATAGAGGTCAGGCTGATGGGCTTATAGTTTGCCAGATCTACTTTCCTCCTTTTCTTGAAGATAGGCATGACATTGGCCCTCTTCCAATCATTGGGCACTTCACCAGAGTGCCAAGAGCTCTCAAAGATCTGTGCCAGGGGCTGAGCTATGATGCTCATGAGCTACCTGAGTACCCTGGGGTGTAAACCATCAGGGCTGGCTGACTTGAAGGTGTCCAGCCTGTCAAGGTATTCCTGGTATCTGGGATAGAGTAAATTCTTATACATTGAAATGTTAAGGATGTTCGTTCATTCACAAGGGGTGAAGAGGTAGTTCAGTCTTGGTTTAAGTTAGGTTAGTTCACTCAACATACTGGCTTATTCTCTGTACAGTCTCTCTCCTGAGACTCCTAGGAATATAAAATTGTCATTTTTTTGAGTTTTTAATGCTCTCGGTAGAACTTGGAACTTAGAAGCCACTTACCAGGTGATACCATCAGATGTTACAGTATTTACTTAATAGCATTATCAACCTTGATAGACTTGGCACCAATGGCCTAATATCCTGAGTGAAGTTGAAATAATATTCTGGGAAATCTGTAGACTGGTTTCAGCTATAAAAATATAGAAGAAACAATCAAGTAGGTTTCAGTAATCTCTCTCTCTCTTTATAAAACATGATATAATAATAAGTGAATAAGTGCTAATAAGTTTCTTTTTATTATAGCAACTGACTGGCAATGAGTCCTTTGCACTGCCTTACTGGAATTTTGCCACAGGTAGAAATGTGTGTGATGTGTGTACAGATCAGCTTTTTGGAGCATCAAGACCAGACGATCCAAGCCTAATAAGTCAGAATTCAAGATTCTCACGCTGGGAAATAGTATGCAACAGGTAAGAGAACATCTAAACCCTTCCCCACCACAGATTTCATCCATTAATCAACAGTATCGATGTGTAGACAAAATGAGAGGCATCTGTACATAACACTTTAAAGTGGGCTAAATGCATTTGCACTGCTTTAATGGTGTTGGTGTTTGCATGCCTCAGTGGCATATTGAGCCTTAATTCCAGCTGCTGTAGGAAATTCGCTGGCATAATGCGCCTTAAATGACTTGGGGCGCAGCAAACTAGAATTCCTCCAAGGAGTTTTAGTTTGTTGCCCCTACAGCTGCAGAGTGAAGCACCAGGCTCTGTGCAGCTCCATGGCTCTGCAGGAAGCCCTACAGGCAGCCTGGCAGCATCCTGGGAAGGCAGGCTTTGCCCAAGAAAAGCAGCAAGCCTGATTTCCCCCCACCCCCGGATGGAGCCTGCCTGCTTCCCTCTGCGGCTGCAGTTCTCCCTGGGACCACCGGAGCCAGGTTCCTGTGGCTGGGGGCTGCCTGTGGGGGGCTGCCACTCCCATGGAGGGAAGCACCGCCCCAGCCCAGGGACCACTCCACCCACTGGCAACTTGCCCTCCCCTCCCCACTGCCAGAGAGGCAGGTAAGTGTGGGGTGTATGCCTGACATGGGGTTTACTTCACTCTAAATTGAAGTGGAAGGTTTAAAAATTCACTGCTTCAATTTAGGGCCTCCATTTTGTCTACACACACCCTTTAACTACCTTTTTTTTCCCAATTTCTGCCAAATGTGAGACAAAGAGCTTACATTCCCTTCTAAAAATTGTGAAGCTGCGTACATGGATTCCATGAAAGATTTCTCCACACGTATTTTGCAAGTTTGCTTTATAAATTGAGTTTTTGGATACAATTTTTTTTTCTTAACATGGTCATTTTAAGACTAACTGATATTACAAGTGCTTGACATACTAGAGGCTCACTTGTTAGAGCAGAAATATTAGGATGGTAGTTCCATTTGTCACTCAACTGCCCTTGAAAGTTTTGTTTTAGAAACATAGATTTCATAGATGTTTAGGGTCGGAAGGAACACTAGTAGATCATCGAGTCTGACCCCCTGCCCTGGGAAGAAAAGAGCGCAGCCAGATGACCCCAGCCAGGTGTTTGTCCAGTCTCCTCTTAAAGACCTCCAAGGTAGGGGAGAGCACCACCTGCCTTGGAAGCCGATTCCAGATTCTGGTAACCTTTACCATAAAGACATTCTTCCTGGTGTCTGATCTAAATCTGCTCTCTGTCAGTTTGTGGCAGTTGTTTCTAGTAACTCCAAGGGGTGCCCTGGTAAACAGAGCATCTCCTATTCCTTGCTGTCCCCCCTTGACAAATGTGTAGACAGCCACTAGATCCCCTCTCAGCCTTTTCTTGCAGAGGCTGAAGAGATACAGGTCCCTCAATCTCTCCTCATAGGACTTTACCTGCAGGCCCCTAATCATCCAAGTAGCCTTCCTCTGGACCCTCTCAAGTTTTTCCACATCCCTCTTGAAGTGTGACGACCAAAACTGAACACAGTACACCAGCTATGGCCTTACCAAAGCTGCATAGAGGGGAAGTATCACTTTCCTAGACTTGTTCGTGATACACCTGCTGATGCATGATTGCAGAGTACAGTTCGTTTTATTGATCACTTTGTCACAACATGGTAACTCATGTCTATCTTGGTGTTGACGATGACCCTGAGATCCCTTTCTGCTTTTGTGCTGCTTAGGAAGTCATCTCCCAGTCTGTAGGTGTGTTGGAGCTTCCTTCTCCCTAGGTGCAGTACTTTGCACTTATCTTTGTTAAACCCAATTCTATTTTGTTCTGCCTACTTTTTCAGCTTGTCCAAATCCACCTGAATCCATTACCTTCCCACTAGTGTGTTTACTTTGCCCCATAATTTGGTGTTGTCCATGAATTTGGACAGAGTGCTCTCCACAGCCTCATCCAAAACACTGATGAAGATATTGAACAGCACTGGTCCAAGGACTGAACTCTGGGGAACCCTACTGCCTACATCTTTTCAGGTCAATTCTGACCCATCTTCCACCACTCTCTGGGTGTGTCCCTTAAGTTAATTTGCCACCCACCTGACCATGTAATCATCTATGTCACAGCCACTTAGTTTATTTATGAGAATGGGATGAGGCACCATATTGAAGGCCTTTTTAATATCCAAGAAATGACATCAACCTTAACTCCTGCATCTAAGCATTTTGTGACCTGGTCGTAAAAAGAAACAAGATTAGTCAGACAGAATCTACCTGCTATGAACCTGTGCTGGTTGCCATTCAGCATTATTTTTCCTGCTGGACTCCCACAAATGTAATCCTTAATAATTGTTTCAAAGGTTTTCCCAAGGATAGAGGGGAGACTAACAGGCTTATAGTTACTTGGATCCTCCTTCCTCCCTTCCTTGAAAATAGTGACCATGTTGGCCCTTTTCCAGTGTTCTGGGACCTGTCTTGAGCACCATGAGTACTCAAACAGTCATGCCAGTGGTTCTGCTATGACACTGGCCAATTCCTTCAGCATGCTTGGATGAAGATCACCTGGTCCTGCAGACTTAAATGAATCCATCCCCTCCAAATGTCCCTTGACTAGGTTGGTGCTAACTGTTGGTGGGTTTATGACCCTCCTGTGCCTGTCTATAGTCTATTGGGAGATTTGTCTTGATCCATGTTCAGGAATACAGAAGCAAAAAACTCACTGAAGAGCTCAGTTTTGTCCCTCTTATCTGTCACCAATTGCCCTAGTCTGTCGTGTAGGGGTCCTATGTTACCATAAGCCTTCTTTTTGTTCCCTATATACCTGAAGAAGGACTTTCTGTTGTCTTTAATTTTTGTTGCCAGCCTGAGTTCCACTGCTGCTTTGGCCTTTCTAACTGACTTCCTGCAAGCGTGAGCCAAGTAGGTATACTCCACCTTGGTGGCTACCCGCTCCTTTCACAGTCTGTATGCCTCTTTTTTCACCCCTAGGCTTTCCTGGATTTCCCTGTTCAGTCAAGAGGGTTTCTTAGCCCTTTCCCCACCCCTTTATGTGCAATGGGATTGTCCCCTTCTGTGCTTGAAGGATAGTTCCCTTGAGGAATGACCACTAGGGCTGTGCGAAATGGCACCGTTCGGTTTTGCCTTGAGTTTTGAGGTTTTGATGGAACAGCATCCTATTTTGAATTTCTTTTCAATTTGAAACAGCTGTTCTGTTTTGCTTCATCGAAACAGTGAGGCTGTTTTGACGCTGTTTTGAAGATCAGGCTGGGGGAGGGGATTCAGCCCAGCTGAGCTGACTTCCCATCGCCAGTGCTAGATCGGGCCCGATTTAGCACTGGGGATGGGAACTGAGCCCAGGCTCAATTCCCTTCCCCTGTGCTGTCATCAGCTTCCCACATCCCAGCAATGGGAGGTGAGGAGAGCCAGAGCTGCACTCCTGGCTGCTGTTGGGAGTGCTGCCCTGGTTCTCCCCTGTCTCCTACCACCTTGCTGCTGGCTGCTTCGAAACTCCAAACATTTTGAAACTTTTGAAATGTTTCAACTAGCCTTGTTTTGTTTCGAGGTTGTTTCAAAGCCCTTCGTTTTGATTCAATTTCACTGTTTTGAGCTTGAAATGAGTTGAAACAGTGTTGACTCTAAACAGCTGGCGAAATTTTACACAGCCGTAATGACCACCCTTCCTGGACTCTCATCTCACCAATGCTCTTGTCCTTCAGTGCCTTGCTTACTAATCTTCTGAGCTCATTGAAATTAGCCTTTTTAAAGTCTAGCACTTCTGCTCTACTGGTTATCTTTCCCACTTTTCGCCAGATAGTGAATTCTAACAATTGGTGGTCACTATCCCCTAGGTTACCCTGTATCTGCATATCTCCCACCAGGTCATCCCTTGTAGCAAACACCAAGTCCAGAAAGGCATTTCCCCTAGTGGGACTGTATACCTCCTGTGTTAGGTGAAGGTCCTGTATGCAGGTTAAGAACCTACATGAATGGTCAGATCTAGCTGACTGCTGCTCCCAGCAGATGTCGGGGTAATTTAGGTCACCCATGACAACCACGTCCCTTGAGTGTACTGCCTCTGAGAGCTGCCTTGAGAATTCCAGGTCTAGCTCATCCTCCTGGTGTGGCAGTCTGTAATAGCCCCCCATTACCAAGTCCCTTTCCCCCTGACCTCCTTGTATTCTGACCTACAGTACCTAAACTTGCCCCTCTTCTGATCCCATTTTGATTATAGGGGATGTGTATTGTTCCTTAACATAGAGAGCAATGCCTCCTCCCCACTTTTTCCCCACTTTGTTGTGTCTGTACAGCCTATAGCCCTCAATGCCTACTGCCCAGTCATGGGTAGGGTCCCACCAGGTTTCAATTAATCCAACCAGATCAAAGTCTTTTTTTGCAAGCAGGAGTGTGAGCTCTTCCTGCTTGTTTCCCATACTCATAGCATTGGTATAGAGACACTTTAGCCCCCCAATAGGTGCCCTTGGTATCCCCCGTCCTGATATCTATCGGGCCCAAAAGTACTTATGTGGATGAGCGCATGGTTCGTGGTTCACTGATCCTAGATTCTCTCTGTCTTCTGCATCCCCTTCCCCCAATAAACTTAGTTTAAAGCTCTATGTAGGAGATCAGCCAACGTGTAAGAGAACGGACTCTTACCTTTCAAAGAGAGATGAAGACCATCACATCCCAGCATATCTGTTTCATGGAAGTGCAGATCATGGTTGAAGAAGCCAAAACCCATACAATGGCACCAACTCCAGAGCTGCAAGTTGACTTCTCTAATACAGTTGTCTTGATGCTGGCCATGACCACTGACTGGGAGGATTAATGAGAAAACCACCTGCACCCCATATCTCCTAAGCCTGGTCCCCCGAACCTTGTAGTCACTCATGATATGGCCCAGAATACTCTTGGCTGCATCATTTGTACCCACATGGATGAGGGCCATGGGATATTAGTATGAGGGCCAGATGAGGTCAGTAATTCTTGCAGTGATGTCTCAAGTCCAGGCTCCAGGCAGGCAGCATACCTCCTGT